TGCAGCTGCCGCTCCTCTGGGACCCTCGTGCCAATGGTGCGGGCACCTGTGCCCCGTGGGATGCTCAGGGAGCTCCAAGAGCACCACTCTGCCTGGGCCCCTAAGACTAACAGTAAAGCACCAAGTCAGAAAGCAACCGTGGCAGCTTCAGTGCGTGTCTCCGCTCTCGAGAGCCACAGGCAGGCAGCCCGTGCTGCCCGATGAAGACGACGCTTCTTGCCTCTGCCCAGTTCCGTCCAGCAGAACGCCAGTCCTGCACCAGTCTCTCCTGCGGCTCCAGCCCCGAGGCCCTGGTGCAGTGCGAAGAGCAAGTCCTGGGATCGGTGGGCCAGGACACCCCGCCCTTCCTCCCCCGGACATTCCTTCCTCTGCGTTTCCCCCTGCATCACCCTCCACTTCAGCTTCTCCTTTTTCTCTCCTTCCGCTGCCCAACCAGTTCCTGTATTCAGGGCTATGCACATTCGCCCCCGGAACCCACAGGACAAACCAGGCGTGGGGAAGCTGCAGGGTTCACAGGACCCCAAGAGCCTCTGGAAAGGCTGCCAGGACTCCTGCCCGCGGGCTCGGCCCAACGAGCTGGGCAGAGCAGAGCGGTCCTGAACCCAGATTTTCACCAAAGGGGAGAGCACTGGGTCCCCTCGTGTTCTCTGCCCCTCGGTGCCCATAAGGCAAGCCGGGGCCCTCAAGAAGGCCGAAGAGCTGCACGGTGGCCAGACAGACGCGGGAGAAGCCGCACAGAACTTCCAGAAGGGCCTCAGGGCGGGTCCGGGTCAGAAGCCATCCGCTCCGGGCGGGCGCCTGAGAGGCCCCTTTCCTCCCACCTGCTTATTTCCTGGGCACCCAATGGGTGAGCTCCCATGGGCTTTGCCTGACTGAGACAAGCCACCGTGACGCAGAGACCCGGCGTGAGTGCGCGAGACCGGCAGGTACAGCGAGCGGAGCGGGACTTTCCGCAGCCGGGAGGTTAGGAGTGCTGGCAGGGGCGGGGAGGCAGGGGCCAGGGGTGGGGCGGGGTGGGGCTGGGCTGGCCTCTCAGAGACCAGCAGAAGTCACCCGGGAGGGAGGGGCCATGCGGGGGGCGGGGGGGGGGGCGTGTCGGAGAAAACCTGCAGGAGCCGGAGGCCGCGGAGCAGGACCTGGAATGGGGCATGAAAGAGCGGAGACTGGGCGTCAGGCAGGTGCGAATCCGAAGCATGGCCGCCTTTGGAGCTGGCCGGGGTGGGGGTGAGGGTGGCGGGGGCTGGGCTTTGCGCAGGAGGCCTGGGGGGCGGGCAGAGCTGACCCCGGCCAGGGCACGCGGGCACGCGGGCGAGGCTCCGTGCTCTGGGCGGCAGGAAGGGGTGGCGGTGGGCTGCTCGACAGCGCTGAGGCCGCAGGTCAGCTGTGCGCGGGAGGCGGGCTTGCGGCCAGCACCTGCTCGGAGGCAGGGCCTGTGGCTAGAGATGGGGCTGCAGCTGTCGGACTCTGTCCCGGCGCTGAGCTACGTGAGCCTCCTGGCTCTCCGTTCCCACGTGTCGCCCCCTCGGGTGAGGCGTGTGCTGACGGCCGTGTGCTCACCCACCGGCACGCAGGGCCGTGTGCTCTCGCTCACGTCTCCCGGCTCTGTCCACTGCCAGGGCCCTGCGGCGACCTGCGCCTGGGTCCAAGCTGGGTCTCTGAGAGGGGCCAGGGCCCCTCCAGGAAAGGGCTGACCGGAGCTGGGCAGGCAGCGCCAGCTGACCCCCCGAGCTCGTGCATGTGCGTGTGCATACATGTGACGTGTGTCACAGGACATGGAGCAGAGCGAGGCCCCCAGTCTGACTGGGTCGGCTCAGCTGGTGCGCCTGAGAACAGCGTTGTGTTCCAGAACACCGGGAACAGCACCCACAGGTCCATCCATGGCGCGTGTGTCGGAGCCCAGGGGCCAGCGCTGGGGCGGCAGCAGTGGCAGGGGAGAGGCCAGCGCAGGAACCCGGCCTGGGCCTCAGGGACACAACTGTCAACGTGGAGACACTGGGCCGAGCAGCGATGGGGAGGCCAGGCTGGTCGCAGTCTGGAGACAGGTCAGCAGCCCCCCAGGACAAGCCTGCCGGGCACCCGCTGACAGGCCCACCACACACGGGACACCAGACGGCAGCAAGAGGGGGGGCCTCCGAGACGGCACCGTGGCGGCTCTGCCTGCACCAACCGGGCTGGGACGGAGCCCAGAGGGCAGGGCGCGTGTGCCTGGCGAAGGGAAGTCCAGGACACCCGGGGACAGGGAGCGGGTAAGTGTTTGCCCAGGGCTGGGGCGGGAGGAGGCAGCAGAGGAGCCAGTGTGCAGACTCGCGTGTGCCCAGGAGCAGCTGAGGCGCGGGCTGAAGCGTGTCAGGGTCAGCATGGGCGGCTACTGGCAGGGTGGGCAGGGGCTGACCATTTGCAGTGCAAACATGTCCCTAGACGCCGCAGATGTTTCCCATCAGGAAACGCAATCGGAGAACCCGAGCAGCCACTGTGAACGCCTCTGCTTGCTGCTGTGCTGGTTATTGGGGTACAGTCCCTCTCACCACAGAACTTAGCTCCTTAAGAGTGAGCAACTGGGGGGGGGTCAGCACATTCAAGAGGTTGTACAATCACCTCCTCTACTTCCGGGATACTTTCAGCTCCCGCCACGGAACCTCAGTACTTATGAGCAGTCGTTCCTCATCCTCGCCCTCACCTCCAGCTCCTCGCAGCCGCCCGCATGCCTCCTGGCTACACAGACCTGCCTCTTCAAGAGACTTCTGCGAAACCGGACCTCCATGTCTGGCTTCCTTCACAAGGCATCATGTTTTCACAGTTCGGTCATGTTCTAGCATGAATCTGTACGCGGCTACTTTTTATGGCTGCGTAATATTCCACGGCACAAATATGCCAAAGTGTGTCTCAGTGAAGCTTCTGCGATTCCTGCCAGTCCTGCTACCGTAACCACTGGGGTGTGAGTTTCTGTGGCTGTTTTCAGCTCCCTCCAGGACGCCCTGGAATGGCGTCGCCCCTTCCTGACGGCCTGCGAGGCTGCTCTCTGCCGAGTCTGCCCCACCTCACAGACCCACTGCCACAGGGGCGAACTCTCCCCGCCCTGGCCGACATGCTACTGTCTCGAGTCTGGCACCCACGGCTGACATGGCTTCGGTTCGAACTTTCTCGATGGCTGCTGCATGCACCCCCTTCGTTACTTACCAGCACCGTGGATCTTCCGTGGAGAAATGTCTGCTCAACCTCTTTGCCCAATTATTCACCTTTTTACTGTCAAGCTCTGGTTGTTCTTTGCGTATTCTGGACATTGGACACTCACCTCTGATTTATAAGTATTTTCACTCCTCCTGTGGCCGTCTTCACTTTCTCCACAGTATCCTTTAAAGACTGTTTAATCTGATGGAATCCGTTTATCTTGGGGAGAGGAGGTCACTCGTGGTTGGGTCACTTCTGAAAGAACCACGGCCTAGCCCACGGGCACAGAGACCTCCGTCTGCTTTCCTCTAGAGGCTCAGCTCTCACATCCAGGCCTTGGAGCCGACGGGAGTGACCTTTACAGGGCGCGAGGGGAGGGTTCGATTTCCCCCCCATGTGTGGACACGCAGGTGCCCTGACCCTACTGAGGAGACCACCCCTCGCCGCCGCACCCCGTGGCCATCAACAGCTGCCGGCGAGGTGCGGGCTGGTGTCTGCCTCTCGACTCCACCACCCCTGGCCCGTGTGCTCCCCCCTCCCCCCAGCGGACCCAGCCCTTGGTCCCTCACGTTTCTGTGTGCATCCTGGGGTGGGGTCTCCCTCTGCAGGTGCGGTCCCGAGAGGGGTGGTGTTGACTCCGAGGCAGCGCAGGGAGAGTCTGCACGTTTACCTGGGTCTCTACCCGGTGGCCTCTGCGGCCTTCCGGGGCGCGTCTTCACGCGCTGGAATTTTTCATGCCTATTCCCTTCTCTGTGCAACTGTCTCTCGCCCTCGCTCACGCCCGGGGGCTGCAGCGGCAGGTCTGCGCGCTCACCACAGCCTGCACGCATCCCCAGCTCAGAGCGGCCCTGGGCAGCGCCTTGGGGTCTTCTAGCTACAAGGGTGAGGCGCTGGCATCCCCGTCCCCTGCCTGTGTCCTGGCTGGAACCTCCACGGCCAGCTGCAGACCAGCAGTCCTCCCGGACCTGGCCCCAGGGAGCGGCGCTTCCCGCGAGCTCGGGTGTTTTTGCAGAGGGAGGGAAGGAAGCGGCGCTGCAGGGCAAGGGGTGACCGAGAGAACCGCCCAGGCGGGCAGGAACGAGGCACCAACTGCAGATAGGAGGGCACGGGGGTGAATCCAGGTTGGTGCCAGGTGGGCGGGCCCGGGGCAGTGGGGCCTGAGGAGCAAAGCTGCCGCGGGCAGGAAAGGCAACCCTGGCCAGTGGGTGGACGCCCCGCCGCCTCTACGCTGAGGGCACTGGGCCCCCCTGATAAGCCCCCCGCCCCGGGGTCCTTCCAGCAGAAGCGGGGCGCAGACGAGGGTGTGTGAGCTGAGGGCGCGCTGCTCGGTCTTGCAGTTGAGCACCGGACACTTGTCTCTTCGTCCAAAAATGGGTGGGGGAGAGCGAACTGTCCTTTGCGCTCTGGTCTCCCGAGCAGCAGACCCCCCCTTCCGCCTCCGCACCCCGGGGGAGACAGCAGTGCGGCCCGCAGGCCCGGCGCCAGAGAGCGCGCACGCGGGGCTGGGCAGGTCTGGCGTTTATTCGCGGCGGTCCCGCGGCGCTGGCTGGCAGTGCAGAAGGCCCAGCCCAGCAAGTGGCATCAGTTACAGCTCTTTAAAAACCCTGTCGACAGCTCTCAGTTGTTTCTTTATATTTTAGATTTTGACAAAACTTTTTTTAAACAAATACAAAATAATCCAAGAGGAGAAAAGCTATACAAGGACCATTCACACCTCTGATAAATAGACTAACGCTGGTCCAGGCGCCTCCGCCCAGCAGTGTCCATGAGAACCAGAGCCCCGGCCCGGCGGCGGGCACCACCCGCACGGCGGGCAGGGCCTGGGCCCCGGCCCCCCGGGCCTCCAGCCTGGGCCTCCCCTGTCACCTTCTCAAGCTCTGACCACAAATGCCTGGAGCCGCTCCAGACAGGACCTGCCCGAGGGGGGCCCAGAGGGGCGCACCCCCGGGCACTTGCACAGCAGCTATTCCCAGAAATGCGCGGAGCTGGGGTCCCGCTGCCCTGGGGGACCAGCGGCTCGTCCACCTTCTTCCTCGAGGCAGCTCCTGCCCAGGGCGACGGCCCGGGCCCCTGCTCACCCGGACTGGCCTGCCGGCCCTGGCGAGGCCAGGGGCCGAGAGTCCCTGAGAGAACGCGGAGGGAGGACGGGTGCTCGCCCCTCCCCGCAGGCGAGGTGGGTCTTCCCGCGGCACCCGCCCCGCAGCAGGCCGGCCCAGGCGGGGGCGGGCGGGCCAGTGAAGCGCCAGTTCTGAGGCAGAAAAGCTGAAGCCCGAGGGGCCGGGTCAGACCTGCCCCACCCTCTAAAACGAGGACGGGGTTTGGGGAGAAGAAAGCCAAATAAAAATAGCAGGTCATCCCAGAATCTCTCGGGATTGCCCCTCACAGTTTTGGTTACTCGGTATACGTAGCTCAAGGAAAAGGCTGACTTTCTGTCCTAAAGCCCAACAGCAGTGAATTTTGAAAGAGAAAGAAACCCACGTGTCGTCGGTTCCCCTGTCCTGGCGCCCGGCCCTGCCCGCCCAGTGGCCCCAGGCCCCTGCGGGCTGCCCCCCCACGCCGACACCCCAGGGTGTGCGCCTGGGGTGCGGGAGGCTCTGGCCGGGCCGGCGACCAGGGCGGTGCAGCCAGCAGCTCGGCTTTACCTTTTTCTTTTTTGCTAAAAATCAAAAATATATCTTTCCAGTACGTGGCTTCTCTTCCATTCCACCTCTGTCAGCACAGAGCAGCTCTGGGCGCGCGTCTCTGGTGCAGGGCCGAGGCGTCTCCACAGGAAACACCCGCAGGAGGAGCCGGGTCGTGGGGCCGGGACTGTGCCTGAGAGTGGAGGCCCAGACCTCTCCCCGCGCGCGCCCCTCCCACCTAAAACTAATAGCAAAGCTGAAGCCGGGGGCCGGGGGCCGGGGTCCAGGGGCCGGACGCCGCCGGCAGGACCACCCGCTTGCGGCCCTCTCTGCCGAGCTCGGGCACGGAAGGGCCTGCGGGCACACAGCTCTGCTCCCGCGGGGACTCAGTGTCTCTTCGTGGACGAGACCTTCTTCTTCCGTGCAGCCAGCATCTCGTAGAAAGGGTCCCTGCTGATGGCCGCCCTGGAACACAGGGGGAGGCGGCTGAGGACAGGGCGGAGGGGCCCCCGCACCCTCCACCCTGACCGTCACCCGCGTGGAGGCCGGCCCGGGGCCACCCCTTCAGCCACACCGAGGGAGCCACGCGCATGCGCGAGGTGGCCTGGGGTGTTACTGCCCGTTTCCTAAGAGCCAGTTAAGTTCAGGGCAAGAACAGCACACTCTCTCCCAGGCTGGCCTAACTGCCGGGACGATGGCGGCCCGCTCCAGAGGGTGAGAGGAGACCACGCAGCCCTCGGCCGCAGGAGCCCAGCTTCTCGAGTCCAGCTGCCTGGGCCTGAAGACCAGCACCACCTCTGCGGTCTGGACAACCTAAGTCCGCACTGTGCCTCAGCGTCCCCGTCTGCTCCCATGCTGTGCTGAGTCACGGGACTGGAGAGCCAAACGCCGCCGCCCTGGGGCGCCCGTGTTGCGGGGGCCGAGCCAGGCCCTGGCACGCACACACTGAGCCCTCAGCAGCCCCGAGGGCCACCGGGGCAGCAGGCCAGGGCTGGGCAGGGAGCCTGACCCCATAGCTGCCTGCTGTCTGGGTTTGTCTCTCCTCACTGCTCCGCTCAGGGGTGATTTTGTGACAACAAGGTGCTGCCTCTGCCTGCGTCAGCCCCCCTCCCGCCTCTGCTCCCTGAGCCCCGGCAGAGACACCAGGAGACGGGGCAGAGACGCCACGGCCCCTTGGGTCATGGCCTAGTGGACAAGACCCACCACACAGGCCACACCAGTCTGCAGGCGCGTCCCGAGGCCCACGACGGGCCAGCGGTGCCCGGGAGCCTAGGCTCGGGTGTCCTCTAGGGCTGCGGTGGGAAGCAGGCGAGGCACGGGGGGCGCTGGGGTCACGGCTCCCCAGGGCGGCCGCTCACTTGATGCACTTCATCCACTCCTCCTGCTCCTCGGGCGTCGGGGCCGAGATGCGGTAGACCGTGTGGTTGCCTTCCACCACCCGCCCGTCCGCCTCCGTCTTACAGGCCTTGATCACTTGGTCTTTATTGTCGGGGATATAAAGCTCAAAGCAGTTCTGGAAATTAAAAGAGAGGGAGGAGGCTGAGATCTAAAAACTGCTGTTTTCAGAAAGGCTGAAAAGGCGACTTATCTTCCAAAGCCTCTCTATTCTGACCTCCATGAAACACGGGAGATGTTTTCTCCCAGCGAGAGAAGACCCTTACGGCAGAATTCTGGAGAATTTAAACTACGTATCAACAAGCCTTTCAGCCAAACTGTCACCCCGACACGGCCTCCCGACACGGCGCGGCACCCTCGAGGGCCCGGCGTCCGCAGCCAGGCCGGCGACACTCCAGCGTTCCAAGGCCGGGGCCCCACGGCAGGCGCCACTCTCCAGCCGGGGCGGCCGGCACAGCAGGTGGGCGGGAGGCGAGGTCACGGGGCTCGCCTTGGGCTTCGACGCTAAAGACAACTTTAAAAGCCAGGCAAGATTAGAGGCCAGCGCTCGTCAGCGCAGCAGGGGAACCTGCAACCTCACGTCTCCCCAGAGAACCACTCCCCACCCCACGGCCCCCCACGCGTCTGCCCGGCACTCACTGGCTTCTTGGAGTCCTCCACCTCCCGGATGCTCAGGTTCTCCAAGGGGATGATCCCACGGGGCTCCTTGTCCTGCAGGTTGGACAGAGGCTCCTTGCTTGGTCTGCAAGCATGGGCCCCCCCAGACCCCACCTCCCTTCTCTGCCGTCCCCCAGACCAAGGCCAGCCGGCCCCAGGGCCCACACCTCATCCTCTAAAACAAGAACGGGGTGAGAGCTGCACAGGGGCCACCACCAGACCCCTGCCTGCCACCCCAGGCCTTTGCCAGGGCAGCGTACGTGGTGGGGCCACTCCCAGGGGCCCCGCAGACGCCTGTCACTTGGAGACACCCCTGTCCCTGCCTGGCCACCCTCTGGCCTCTGCTGATATCAGAAACCTGAGAGCCGAATCTCGCCGGCGGTGGCCCAAGGCCACTGCGTTGGGGAAGAGGCCACGCATCGCCTTCCCTCACTGTCTCCTCCCTTATGTTCCCCTGGACGGGCACTGCCCACCTGCCAGCTCCACCTAGAAAGCTCCTAGAAAGGCACCTAAACTCCCGTCCAGGGCCAAACATGCCCCCACCAGGCCACCACCCCATCCTGCCTCTCCCAGTGCTTCCGTCCCAGCAACAGTGGCTCCGGCCCTACCAGGGCGACCTCCGGCCTCGCCCCCTCTCCTCCCCATCCAGCCCCGACGGCCACTCGCTCCAGCTCAGCAGCTCGGCTGCATTTGCCTGGGCACTAGACCTCGGGACGGGCGCCCCTGGAAGCCCGCGCTCCTCAGGGTGCAGATTCTGGGGCGCGCCTCCTTCCAGGGAAGTCACTTCTTTGGATTGCGGGCACACATGACCGTCCCGCCTGCCCTCCCCACCTGCCGGCCTTCCCGGGGGTCTCGGCGCTGGTCTTTTTCAGGTGCAATCTCCCAAGTCTGTCCCGTTCTGAGCGGTCCCGCTCCTCAGAGCTCTGACTTACTGGCCAGAAGACGCCCCGTTTCTATGGCTACAGCTCCAGGCTAAACACGGTTTGGGTTCTCATCTGTCGGAAGCTCCCTCAGGGCTGGGAAGCTCGTGTTCTGTCCACCTCCACCGCCCACCTGCCCGCCCCCAGCTCCAGCGTGCTCCTCCACCGTCGACACCCCATCAGGTCACGGTGCTTCCGCCCCCCTGGGGGTGGCGTTCGTGGCTCAGCCTCCACGGAAGGTTTTCCGAGCTGAACGTGCAGTCGGTGCTTTACCTAAGCCGCGAGCCGTTGTCTCCGTCCACCTTCCCGCCCGCCGATCTCTGCCCGTGGCAGACCAGCACTCCTGACCAGAGGACGCGAGCCCCGGCGCAGCCTGCTTCTCCAGGGGAGGGTGTGTGGGGCCCGGGCTGGGGGCAGCGCCCTGGGCGGGGGCCGGGCTGGGGGCAGGGCCCCAGCTCCCTCCTGGCGCCTGTTGATGTTTCCTGACCTTGCTCACCCTGTTCCTTATTAGGGTGCAGCTTTTCCAACTCATTTCCACCAGCACTTTGCTCCCCGCCAGGGAGGACCACGTGGAAGACCCCCAAGGGCATCTTCACCCCAGGACACTCCAGGGACCGGCTGGCGCAGGCAGGAGCGGCCACCTGCTTCCGGCCCGTCCCCGCGCAGGGCTCTCATTCCGTCCGAGAGCCACCATGCTCTGCGCTGACCAGAAAGCCACTTCCCAGCCTGGGCACTCAGGGGGTCAGCACCTGGACCTGGCTGAAGACCGGGCTGGAGAACAAAAGCCATCCCAGCCCCGGTGCCTGCCTCACCCCAGGACGAGCCTTTGGGCGGCTGCGGGACTGCCCCGCTCTCGCGCCCCAGCAGCCTGGCAGGGGCGAGTCCAGCCTCTCGCTGGCCACCATCTGCCGGCCTCCTTAGCTGCTGTGTCAGGGGCTTCAAAGAGCCTCAGCCCGTGACTCTTAGCCTCATGGGCCACGTACCACGAGGACAAGTGCGTGGCGCGTCTGCATCGTGACTCCTTCCCGCGCGCGAGAACCAGGAAGACTCCCACAGGGTAAGACCACGTCCCGCCGCAAAAACCCCAAACGCCCTCAGGAGACTCCTCCCCTCTTGTTTCTCCTCCTGGCAGCGCCAGCCGCTCGGATCCAGATGGCCAGAGCCTGCCCCGCCCGCCGCAGGTCGGGGGCCAACTCCTCGCCCCAGCGGGGACACTCCCGGCTCCTGTGCGTCCCTAAGGCTCGTGGCGTGGCCCCCTCCCATGTTCTGTCTAGAAGTGGAGGGGGGCTGGTGGCCGGACCCCGCCTCACCTCGGGTACCCCAGGCCGAGACCCGGCCCCTCGGTCCCCTGGGCTCACACCCTCCTCCGGCCCCGGAGCACGGCCCAAGCCAGCCGACCCTGCGCCGCCGCCGCCAGGGCTCACCGTCGTGTACTCGAAGTAGTACAGGCAGTTGTCGGTCAGGATGAACCAGCGCCTCTTCCACGTCTTCACCCTGCCGCCTGCAGGGCAAGAGGATGGGGCATTCGACCAGACACAACGGCAGCACATGCCCGGGCTGGGGTGCCAGACCCACAGACACGCCCCGGGACGCGACACGGCTCCCAGGGGAGCAGCGCTGGGCGGGGGTGCGCAGGCAGAGCAAGCAAGCCGGGCGGGGCGGGCGGAGGGGCAGGGACCCGCGGCCGTCCGGCTGGGCGAGGGAGGGCCAGCAGAGCCGTGTGCCTGGCGGGAGGGGCCGCCCCACCAAGGTGCCCCTGCCAGGTCGGCCAGCGCAGGCCATGGGGGGCTCGTGAGGGTGGGGGGAGAAGAGGAAGGAGACAGCCGTTTCCATCCCTCACGGTCTGACCCGGTTCTCCAGAACTCAAACTCCCGTGGGTTTGGCGCCCGCCCGCTCTCAGGCCTCGGCCAGCGCTCGGCACCCACACCCCCCCGGGGAGCAGAGGGCTGCCCCGGCGTCCCCTCTGGGCTCTCCCAAAGCTCATGGCAGAGAAGCGGGCAGGCCAGGGCTGGAGGGCACCAAGCGGGCAGAGCCGGGGCTTCCCCCGACCCTCTCGCATCTCTCCGAGAAGAGCTGCCGAGGGGCTGTGCGCCAGGCCGATGGACAAGGGCGTGGGGAGCCTGACCACGTCCTGCTCTGGCCCTGGCCGAGCGCCTCCCCGCCTGTCCTCTCTGACGCCAGCTCAAGGGCCGCTCTCTGATCTGACCCAGATGTGGCTGGGGAACGCGGGGCGTCTTAGGGACCCTTCCTCACACCCCCTTACAGGGGAGAGGCTCGTCTCCACGCTCTGGGAGGAGCCACGCCTCGGAGCAGGCAGCGCCTGTCCACCCCACCTCGAGTGGGGCCGAGAGCGGCCCGGGTCAGGCCGGGGCCAGGGCCTGGGCGCCAGCTCTCATGGGGGGCACTCACACTGGGGGGGCTCGCGTGGGAGGCTCTGTGCTGCCCGCCCGCCTGGCGCCCCTCAAGGCTCTCTCCCTCACAGCGACGCGGCCACCCCCTCGGCACTTGCCCCGGCCCCTGCGGCGTGCGGGGGCTGCGGCTGGGGAGCGCCGTGCACAAGCAGGCGGTGAGGAGACGCGATCTGGGTGGGCCTGGGCCGGGCGCCCTCCGGGGCTCAGCGGCTGGCTCTCCGGGCCCCGCCCCCACACAGGGCTCGGCACACAAGGACAGTCACCCCATGCCGCCCCACCATGCGCTCCCCCCAGGACCCCGGGCAGCACTCAGGGTCGTGGAAAGGGTCAGATGGCAAGAGGAAGAAGATGGGAAAGGTCTAGGAGAAAAGCCAAGCTGGCGGCATTCCTGACCGCGGAGACTGGCCATTTCCTGCCGTCTAGCGTGGCAGAGCCCCCGCCGGAGGCCGCGCTGCGGTCCCGGGGCCTCGCGTTGAGAGAAAGACAGACATGGAACGAGCAGACAGACCAATGGCGCCTAGGACAGTCCCTGTGGAACTCAGGGCCACCCGCCTTCTCTGACCCTCACGGGGACGGCCAGCTGCCCTGGACGACCTGACAGGTCCCCAAGACGCTTCTGTGCATGCAGACATCTGGGGAGGCTTCCTGAGTGAGCTCAGCTCAGGCAGTGTCCGGGCAGACCTGGGGGGGCTCCTACACCCGGAAACGTGCCTCCCCAAACCAGCAGGGGACAGTGGCCGCCAGCGGCATGGCTAAGGCCCATCGAGAAAGAGCTGGGAGAAAACCACACAGAACAGCAAGCTCGAGGCCTCCGGGCTGCCGTCCCCACGCCCGGAGAGTGGACCAAGAGCCTCCGAGGGGCCTCCGGGTTTCATCTCTTTTTTCAAACATTCTTGGACCGTGAGTTTAGCAAACACCATTTCCCTTGGTCACGCAAAGGCCAGTGTCCGACCCAGGCTGATTCTGGCCCTGGTCTGCTTCCTGCCCTGGCACCTGGGGGGCACTGGGCTTTGGGAGGTGAAGCCTCCCCGGCCCCCACCCCAGGAATCACTTTCCATCAGGTGGGGCTCAGGGGCCAATTTGAACTCGACAATCGAGCACATTCCCTGGCCAGAAACGCCAAGAGAAATTCAGGGGCGAGTGTCTGCGTCCCCTGCCGTCCCGCACTCCGCGTCTGGGGACCAGCGGTCTGTCAGCTATTGCTTCTCCTAAAGGGACGCTGCACCCCGGTCCTGACCAGTTCCCTAGGGACTGTTCCGTGGTTAGAAGCAGCAGTGACACTACCACCAGCAATTGAAAACAAAATAACCAAAAAGAACAAATAAGAAAACGCTGAGCAGTGGCCTGGCAGAGCGAGCGGCGGGCGAGGGGATTACATACCTCCTGGCGTTTGGGACAAGGAAAAGGAGCCAAAATCATGGAAACATACAAATGAGGGAAAAAAGAAAATTAAAACAACGAAATTAAACCCCCTCCTCAAGCTTCAAGTGGGACGCATCAGTCACTCCTGCCTGCCTGAGAGGGGGCCTGGCGCGGAGCAGGGGGCAGGGGCACCACGTGGCGGGCGAGCAGGGCCTCCCCCGCCCGCCCTGGCCCCCCGAGGACAGCAGGGAGGCCCTGCCCCCCTGCCCACTCCCTGGGCTGGTGCTGGTCAGCGCACCCAGAGCCCGGCAAGGAGGGCAGAGCTGCTTTGGGGCTCGCCAAGTGTCTGGTCCAGATGCTGCCACTTTTCGGGCTGCCGGGACGCGCACGCCCAGGGCACACTCCCAGGTGTGTGCAGACAGACACGACACACAGCTGCGGACCCGCCCGCAGCACACGTCCCACTCAGTCTGATCTTCCCTTCAAAGATGCGGGCGCCTCGGGCCCGCGGTCATTCCAAGCAAGAAGCCGATTACCAGTGCGCGGCTCTCATCTGGCGGCCGGTGGTCAGCGCGGTGCTGGGCACCCAGGGCCGATCCACGCTGGCACCATGACACGAGTGCCCGCACAGGCTTCCAGGTCAGACTGCTGGCCCGGCCGCCTTTGGGGCCGGTCACGGCAGGGCCCTGAGACAATGGCCTGTCTGCTCGGGGGCGCTAGGGCTGAGTGCGGGGCGCTGTGAGGAGCACTGGTGAGGGCGCCCGGGCGGTCAGCGGAGCGCGGGGGACGCTTCCACAAGGAAACAGTTCGCGTCGCTCCTCGCACGCTTCCGCACGCACCAGGAAGGGCCAGCAGGACAGAGCCTGGCTGTCTCCCTGCGGCTGCCGTGGGGTGGCTGGGGACCTAAGCAACACCGCCCAGCAGTGGGGGCGCCCCACTCAAGGCAGAAGGCGACAGGCCTGGGGCAGGGAGCGCCCGCGCAGGCAGCCGGCCATGGCCTGCTGGGGGGCCTCCCCGTAAGGCAGGGCCGCGGACGTGGCAACAGGAGCTCACTGCGGCACAGGGAAGGGAAGGAATTCTTCCTGAACGAGCAGAGCGTGAGTGGGACGGATGGCCTGGGGGAGCCCGGTGCCCGAGAGGGAGAGGGAGCGCGTGGGCTGCAGCCGGGCCCAGGCTTGCCATGCATGCGGCCTTGAGCCAGGCGAGTGGGTGATGCGAGGAGGCAGGGAGGGCGTCGCCCGGGGGCGGGCGGGAGGCCAGCCGCGGGGACCTGCCCCGGGAAGGTGGCGCAGACCCGGGCAGCCTCACGGTGGAGAGGGGCGCCTCTCGCCCGGGCGCCCAGGACGGCCTGTGCGTCCACTTCCCCTGGAGGGGGCCTCGGGACAAACCACTGACCGGTGCCCAGGGGCCCGGAGGCCGCGCGGCCCTGGCCGGGCAGGCTCACCGAGTTTCAGCAGCCAGCCCTCGCGGTCCGGGTTGAAGAAGGTGTGCGTGAGGTCGTTGCCGTCGTCCTCCGGGATCTTAAAGGGCTCGTTTTTGATGCTCTCGTACAGGTTCTGAGGTGGGAGAGGACACCGTCCGGCTCTGAGAGCCTCTCCCCCTCCCGCCCTCCCAGGCACCCACCGAGCACCCGCCAGGCTGGGGCAGCTCGGAGGGGCAGAGGGGTGTGGGGTGACCGTGGTGGACCTGGCCCTCGCCTCGGCTTCAGACTTCTAAGCTGCTCCCCTTCCCGAGCCCTTGGCTGGGCCTCCCTGCCAGCCTGGCACTGGGGTCACGTCGTGGCTCGGACTCAGGTGGGCTTGGCAGGGGGTGCGGAGGGGGGCGGGCAGGGCCCTCTCAGGCAGGTGTAGGCACGGGGGGCGGGGGGTGGCACGTACCCGGAGCAGCTCCTCTGGCAGGTCACCCCCGTCGTTGATGCCCCGGTTCATGGCGATGAACCTCTCCACCGTGGGCTTGTCCTTGACGTTGGGGTTGTGCAGGCTGGTGTTCAGCATGATGATGGCGAACGAGAGGACGTAACAAGTATCTATGGAGGTGACCAAGGGAAGCCACGGTCTGCGGCTGCCACTGGAAACACCGGCCGAGACCCGCGCTCCGGGGAGAGCAAAGGGTCCGAGACCTGCCACGTCGGGTGTGAACAGGCAGCCACTAGCGGCCCCAAGAGTAACGTGACCCAAAGGGGCAGACACAGCCCTACACCACCCGCAGCCGCTGCACGTCCCGCACGCCCACGTGTCCACAGCCCTCTGGCCCCGAAGCGGAATCCGATGTCGCTTCCCTCCTGCTTCTCTGCTGATCTGAAGGGCACCTTCCCAGGGCTCACGCCTCAGAGGCCCCTCCCCACTGCTGGGCTCTGGGGCCCGGCCCCCTCTCTGCTGCGTAAACACCGTTTACATCAAGGCTCCAGACATCAGCCCTCGGCCTTAGAAGTCCTGCGGGCACAGGAAGACCCGCATGCGAGCAGCACCCCCAGGACGGCGTCGCGCACCCGTGGACTGGAACACGCCGTGGTTGCACTGGCAGTACCGCTGGGCGAACGCCTCCATCATGCGGTCGATCTTCTGCGCCTCTCCTGGCAGCCGGAAGCTCCACAGGAACTGCCTGTGTGGGGCAGACAGGTGTGACTCAGGGCGGGCGTCTGCACAGGACCTGACCGGAGACCGACCCGCCCAGCATGCGCCGCCCGAGCACCCACCGTAAGGCCTGGACGAGGTTGAGGTCGGTGAACTCGTGCAGCTCCACAAACGCGTGTAGGACCTGGATGTTAAACTCATCCCTGTCGAGAACAACACAGGACGTGAGGAGGCGGAAGCAGACCTCAGGCACCAGCGCCCAGGGTGGCCCCGGCCTGCCTGGCAGCTGCGCCGGCGAGGCCCAGGGACCAGAAGGGCCACCCAGCCCAGCCCGGGTGAGCCGTGCCCATGCCCGCATGCCAGCAATTCTGCTGTGCCCAGCACGGCCCCCCCCAGGACAGCTCCCTCCGGAATGCCGCCTCCTGACCAGCCTGCCCGGCAGACACGCCCGCGAGCTCACCTCTCCCCCAGGTAGTCGCCGATGGCTGTCTTGTTGAGCCCTTCACCTTTGCACAGGAACTGGGCGATGTCTTCACAGGTGTTCTTCAGCAGGTCGTTCTCGATTAAGAACTGGATCCCCTGGAAGAGGACAGCCCAGAGCCCAGTGAGCCAGCAGAGGCGACAGGGTGGGTGCTCTGGCCAGCGACCCCCACCCGCTCCCACGCAGGACACAGTTAAAGCCCCTTCCCTGTGATTCACTATGTGGCCGCGGCGCTGGCACGTGTCACCCCGTCCTGAAGGAGGACCCGGTCCAGGCCTGCTCGCCCTGGGCGGCGCCAGGCCCACGCGCTGCCACGAGCCTGCCGGGCCCGGGAGACGGCCTCCCACTGACCTTTTTAGGGTCCATGTTGAATTTCTTCCTGCCCATGGCCACCTGCTTGTTCCTCTGCATGTTTTTCCTGTAAAATAGCCAGAGTCACTCCAGCGCTGAGGGGCCATGAAGCTTTGACAGACCCAGACCCCTGCCCACACCGCTGGTCCGCAGGGACCCGTGTTGGCCCCTCCCGGAGGGCAGCATCCTTTGGCCCGACAGCTGCGGGGGCCTGGGCCGGCGTCTCCTTGCTCTGGCCTGGGTTGGCCTGCACGGCCCCGTGGCGTCCGACAGCCCAACGAGCAGCCTTTCGTCCTGAACTGCCTCCTCCACGGCCCAGTTCCCGCAGCTGCTGCCGGCCACTTCTCCCTCCTAACGGCATTCTTCACAGAGTAGAGGTTTTAAATTTTGATGAGCTCTAATTTATCCACTTCTTTTAAGCTATGGTTTTTAAATGGAAGGTCAGAGAGCTGACACCACTGGCGTTGAGTGGCAGCCACCGAGCTCGGCCCCATGGCGCCACGACAGGAGCTTCGCCGTGACGTCCAGCAGGCCTGCGGGGCCGGGCTCAGGTTTGGCGCCGACAGGGCGGGCCGGAGATGCCCACACGCTGTGCCAGGCCTTTGGGCTGGGGGGGGGGTCCCATTTAAAACTAAATTTTCAGGCCTCCCTGGTGGCGCAGGGATTAAGTCTCAGCACTATGGAGGTCCGATCCCCAGCCAGGGAGTGACCCACGTGGCACAGCAGACCTCTCCTGTCTCCCCGCTGCTCCCCTCAGCAGTGTGTTTCAGTAGATTTGCCTGTTCTCCCACTCTGTCTCTGGAGAGTCCTCTCACCCCCCAACTCTGTCCTGCACCCCAGCTCTTGTATGCAGAATCTTGTATGCATAAATAAATAAATCTTTAAAAAAAAAACTCAGTTACTAAGTTTCCTGTAGCTGAAGGAAGCACCTCTAGTCTCTGCGCACTGTGGCTTTCTGCTGCACCCTCTCCTGAGCCAGCCTGGGGTCACACCAGGGGCCCCCCAAGCTTTACTGTCACACTAACCATCAGGTGCAGGCCACACAGGCATTTAAGGGCAGGATAAGGCTTTCAGCAGCCCCCGTGCTCTGCAGTCAGCCTTCTCAGCGGTGCTGAAGCCCCGAGCAGGCGCTGCGCTGCCCAGGGTCACCAGGTCACGCCGCAGCTGCTGAGCACGCCGGGCAGGCCAAGCCAGACCACGAAACGGTGCGGGGCTGCCGCGGAGGCCCCACCACCAGAGCCCTGGCGGGGCAGCTCACCTTTCCTCCGTGGACCCCAAGTTTTCAATTTCATTAGTGACTTCTGCTATCTCATCCCTCAGCCTCTGCAAAACAGACGCGGGGTGGCGGGAGGGGGGACAGAGAGCAAGTCAAAGCCTGAGACCCAGACTCCCTCCCCCAAAACAGCAATGAAAATGAAGACAGCCCCAAAATAATGTAAAAAATTGAGAAATCACAAGAAGACGCTTCGTGAGAGACCCCGCCTCAAGCAACCCCCCTCAAATCCCTCCCCCCCCTCACGCCCCCTCACCCACCTGGATGTCGGCCAGCAGCTCCTGCTTCCTTCGCCGGATGTTCTCCAGCTCCTGCCGCTCCTCTGCAGTCAGGTCGCTGGGAACTGCAGGGCGAGGGCAGCGTCAGCGAGAGGAACATAAATAGGCCCCGGGACAAGGACGGCAGGGGAGAGGCCGGGAGCCCAGCTCGGCAGCGGCCCTGGGGCCGGCTCTGGCGCCCACATCCGCCAGCCTTCCCGGAGGTGGCTGGAGCTCAGACCACAGCGGAAAGCTCTGGAAGGAGTACTTGGGAGGAGGGAAGGCCCAGGTGGGAGGCGGCTGGGAGGTGAAACGGGGCTCTGACACGCGGGCCCGAAGCCTGGGGGACGGGGTCCCCAGGACAGGGCTGGCCACGCGGAGCTGGCGCGTGGCCCTTGTTGGAGCGGCTCTCCCACCAGCCCCCTCCAGCTGTCCTGAGACTGCCCCCCACCCGCCACCAGAGACACAGTGGCCTCACCCCACAACCCCACCCCAGCGCAGGAGCGGACCCGGCCGGTGAGCGCACCCACCTGAAGCTGAAGCCAGGCCCCCGGACAGCTCCGCTGGACCCCAGCGGTGAGGTCCCCGCAAGCCCTGGCTCTGGCCCCCAGCCCCCAGTCTTCAAGGAGCAGCCCTGGCTGTGTCTGGGCCAGGAGAGCCCTTGACAGAGCCGCTGTGCAAGGTCCGGGAGCCTGACCTGGGCCCCCAGAGTGCAGCTTTGCGAGCAAGGCACAGTCCAGCTTTTCAGCAGCTGCCCATGGGGTGAGGATGCGCCTCGCTGCTGACGCTGGGGCCTCGGCAGCCCGGCAGGCAAGGGGGGAGGCCGCAGGCAGGCACGGGACACCAGTGTGCAGCATGGAAGACGCGTCCCAAGACCACTGTGCACCCCCAGATGGGAAGCCTGCTGTGGGCACTCTGCTCAGAACCTGCGCCCCGCCACCCGGGCGGCGCCACGTGCGGCAACTTTCAGAGTGAGGGTCTCGCTCTGCCAACTCGGAGCGCATCCACCCAGATGCTGCATCAGAGATGGGGGTGCGCCCGTGCGCCTTCAACCGCAGAGAGAACGGGGGCTCCGCGGGGTGTCACACCCCCCCAGGCAGAGGGCGCAGCCACTGGCCCTGCTGTGTGTCTGCGGAGCCCACTAGGACTGTGCGTGTGCACCCCGGGAACCCAGCTGGCTGGGGGGGGTGGCAGCGGCCTGGAGGAGGCACTCTTCTGCTCCAACACCTGGGCCGCCCCGTGCCCCTCCCTCCGCTCCCCCAGGGAGGGCCCAGCCCGAGTCCCGGGGGGGACACAAGGGGAGGAGCCCCCACAGGCAGGACCACGAGGGAGGGAAAGAAAACTCAGGCTGGGAGGCGCCGGAAGGGGACCCAGCAGAAAAGGACAAGCTCTTGGAAGGACGCCTGCTCTGTGCCCGGAGTCGGAGGGGACAGAGGCCCCGTGCAGGCCCCCGCCCCGCCCCGCCCGGCACACCCGCCAAAAGCCAGCGTGTCCCGAGGCGCCATCCTCGCGAGGAGCCCACAGCGCAGCTGCACGCGGGAGCAGTCAAGTTGAACCCAAAGCCTCTCTAGGGAGCAGAGAGGGGAGACCCCTGGACAGGCGTCAGCGGAGCACAGGGCTGCAGAGCAGAGGGGGATTCGGAGTCCTCCATGGAAACGAGGGCGACCCAGAGAGAAGCGAGGGTGGCCCGAGAGGCCCGGGGCGGGGGCACGGGGAGGCGAGGCCCGGCCTCAGTCTGGAAGACGCGGCGAGGGCCGAGCAAGGGGACAGCTCAGGGCAGGGCCGGCAAGGCCCCGGCAGCAGGCGCGGGAGGTGTGTCAGGACGCGGGCAGCCGCCTCTACCGGGAGCTCGCGGGAGCCCAAGCTGTAAGCGCATGGGGGCCTTGGAAGGTAAAGATGAAGGAACCCCAAAGTGTGACCAACTATCAAAGATGGCCGGGGGCGAGAGCCGGAGACGGTGATGGACGCGGGGGCCGGGAGAGGGCTGACTGGCCATCAGCAGTCTGAGCACGTCAGACGCGGCTCTGGCCGCACCAGGTCGGCAGCATCCACGAGCGGCGGCTGCCAGGGGCCCGGGCGCAGGCGTGTCCTCTGACACTTGCTTTAAGGACACGCGGAGTTAGCTGCCCCTTCCTTTTTTTTTTTTTTTAAGATTTATTTATTTATTTATACAAGCACTGGGTACAGTCAGAAGCGCGGGAGGGCGAGAGGATTCCCCAGAGCCAGAGCGGGGAGCAGAGCAGGCAGAAGGACCGAAGCACACTGCTGAGGGGAGCAGCGGGCGGCAGGAGAGGTCTGCGCGCCGTGTGGGACCCTCGCCCGGCGACTGGGGATCCAACTGGCGCTGCAGAGGCTGTGGGCAGCTTCGCAGCCCAGCGCTCAACCGCTGCGCCACCGGGGAGGCCCTGCCCCTGCATTTTAAAAACAAGAACTAAAGCTGCTGGTCTCCAGCTACCCAGACAGGCAGGCGTGTGCTCCCGGCCACAGCACATGGCAGCTGCACGGGGCTCAACAAGGCGCCAGCAGTGACCCCCGGCCATGGTCCCAAGGGCACCGCCCACTCCCCTGCTGGCTCACAAATCACCCTGAGATTTTAAAAAGCAGATGCAGGCCCCAAGTCACTCGAGGGCCTCCGCTCGGAGAGGAGGGAATGTCAGAGTCCGCACAAGGGTGTTTTCTGCCAGGTGGGCTCATCGGCACCACAGGGAGGCCCGGCTGTCCACACAGAGACGCCGTCCACCAACAAGGTGCTGGCGTCCCCTTCTCAGACGACGAATCAGATTCTGCTGTGGGGGTGGAGGGGAGTGGGCCCCGGGCCTTGGCAGAGGCATTGGAGGGTATCAGGGCACCAGACCGAGGTCGGGGCCGGGCTCAGACACACTGCAGGCTCTGCAGCCAGAGCCGCCAGGCACCCCAGCCCGGGCTCCCCGCCAGGCACCCTCAGCCCGAGCTCCCCAGGGCTAGGCGGCAGCAGCCCTCTGTGCACAGCGGGCCAGATGGCGGAGCACAAACACCCGCCCCGGCCACGTGCACGGCCACGCTCTGTGCCAGGAGGGCCGAGCCCTCCTCGCTGCGGAGAATGGCGCGGGGTGCAGGCCGCACAAAGGCTGGGGAGCAGCTGCCGCACGGCCAGCTGTAAGAGGGTCCGCCAGCGCTGCCTGCGGAAGCTGCCTTCCCCGTCCGGGGCGTCCAGGGCGGCCCTGGCCTTCCCCTGCAGGTCCCGAAGGAGGGAGAAGATCAAGTGTGGCAGCAACAAGGGGCCATTGTGCTGGGCCTTGCGGGGCACCAGGCGCACCAGGCACGCTTCTATCCTAGCTTTATTCAAATGCTGCTCTGCAGATTTTAACTCAGCAGAAGCCCAGGCGCTCCCTCCGCGCACACAGAGGAATGCTTAAAGGGACAGGCCTCCACGGGGAAACAAGCGTCCGGCCAGGCTCCACGGCTTCTCCCTCCTCGGCAGCCCAGCCAGGGCAGAGGCCCGGGACCCACTGGAAGCTTAAACGCAAAAGCCGTTCTGACAGCAATTTCTGCCCAGCAGGAGCGTGAGAAGCTGCCAGGCGAGAAGGGCTAGCTGCCCGTGTGCACCCTGGGGGACAGGGCATCGTGGATCAGGCAGTGCCGGGCCCCAGGACGACCCTGCCTGTCCCCCAGCCCCCTGCCTGGCCTTACAACACACCACCCCCTCGCTCCCACAGTGACCTCGGGTGCATCCGCCCGGGGCTGTTCCTGAGCACAGCAGGGGACTCTGCCAGAGGAGGCCTCGTCCTGGAAGGCCCGGCCTCTGCCCACCCGCCAGGAGAATGTGCAGACAGGAGAGGACCCTCACAGCCAGGAGGACACGCGGTGTCCAGTCCACGCCGGCCTACCCAGAGGGCCCCGCACAGCAAGGCAAACCCTTTACAGACCTGAGCTCTCCTGTGCCAGGCCCCACACGCTGCCTCGGGGAGCAGCTTGGCACCCTGCAGGACAGGCCCCTGCCCACAGTGGCCCCACTGCTCTGGCCTTATGCACAATGGGGGGGCTGCCCTTGGGGCCAAGGTGGGTGCTCCTGCCCCACCCTGACAGAAGTGCCCACTCGAGGCCTGCAGTGAGCTGGGGACACCAGTTGCTCCCTGGCACTGACTGCCCTGCGCCCTGCGCCGAGGGGATCACCCAGGTCAGACCGTGCAAAGCCTCCAAAATGCCAGAGGGGCCGGCTGTGCAGACACTCCCCAAACTCGATGCCACGCCGAGAGCGGACCCACGGGTCAAAGCGGCACGAGCCAGGACACACGTAAAACAAGGGCATGCCTGGGCAAAAGTACATGGGGAGGCAGCCAGGGGGCCGGACGAGGGAGGGGATGCTGAAGGCTGCCCGTGGCGGCAGGCCCAGGGACCACCGGGACCGGAGGAAGCAGGACGGAGGGTGAGCCAGCACGGGGACGGGGCCGCGACGCTGGCAGCCGCAGCCAGGCGGCTCAGATGCCTCACTCACGCCAGCCCGGTGTGCCGGCCAGACCACAGCCATGTACCCCGGAGGAGGCGGCACCACGGCACACGAGCGCCCCAAGGACACTGCTGAGTCAAAAGGGTCGCGCCTGCAGAGCCCCCCCGGAGGCCCCGGGAGAAGGCAGGGCAGAGGAGCTGGCGGGGCGCCTCCGATGGGCTGTCCGTCCTGTGGGGTGAGGGCACTCTGGAGACGGCTGCCTTGAGGACACGCCTGACCCCTGGACAGCACATGCCAAGCGGCAAATCCGGCCTGCACTGCCCCACGAGTGAAACCAAACAAGCCAGCCCCGGCCACAGCCGTGCCTCCTCAGCCTCCCCCGAGCCCCGCAGTGTCCAGGAGGCCATGGCCTGACGTCAAGAGAGGCGTCCAGCGCCAGGCCTGGCTGGGAGAGGCGAGAGGCGGGCGCACGCACTACCGGCTGGGCAGCACCACCCGGGCGTGGCTGGCCCCAGGACACCCCCAGACTGCGGGGAGCCGCCCAGCATGGACAGGAGACTTTTCTGAGTCAAATGCTGCCCCCACAAATGACGCTTGTCCCCGCCGGGAAGCAGGTGCACCGACGTCTCTTCTGAACACATGCTGCATTTTTAAGGAAATCTTCCCAGCTTGGTCTCAGCCCCATCTGACCACAAGCCTCGCACGCCCGCCCCGGCGGCCCTGACACCTGCGCCGCGGGGAGGAGCCGGGGACCCTGGACGCTGCCCCGCTCTGACCTTGGGCCAGATGCCCACGCGGCCCCAGGGCACCTGCCGGAGCGCCCACGTCCCCGGCCTTGCGGGAGGGAACCCGCAGCCTCCCGACAGACCCGCGCGCGTGGGACGGAGTCTGCGTGACGCTGGCTCGGCCGCCAGCCCGCGGGAAGCAAGGTCGGATTTCAAGGTGGTGAAAAACTAAGTCATAAAATCTCTGCCTGAAAGTCTGACTTAGAAAATGAAGCTGCCAGGGCCCCGGGGCCAGACTCCAGGAGAGCCCGGGAGCCCCGGCTGCGCCCGGCCCCGGGGCAGCCCCGGGAAGAGCAGGGGCCCCCAGGAAGTGTTTTCTGCCTCTGGCCTCCTGGGCCAGGGCACAGTGCTGGGCTCAGGGGCGCCTGGGCACCCCCAGGCCACCAGACAAGCTCCGCCCCATGCTCCCCACGAAGGGGCAGCACCTCCTTTCTCCCAAGTGGGCGGCTCGGGGGGCACCGGCAGCCCAGCCAGCTGCTACCCCAGCCACACTGCCCAGCTGTGCAGCCACACCCCTCTCCCGTCCACACGGGGGGCCATGGGGGGAAGGATGTCCGTTCTCTCCCCCTCAGCCCAGCTCTCCGGAGCCTGGATTCCCCCGTGCGCAGAGCAGCCTCCCCCGGCCACTGGCTGGGATGGACCCAGGACCAAATCAGAGGTGCCATTCCCAGCCCCTCCTCGCCGACTAGTGCCAAGAGGGCTGCCCTGACCCAGGGAGGCTCCCAAAGTCCTTAAGGAGTAAAATCAGAACTTCTGGGGTGCCAGGTGTCGAGAGGGGAAAGGCTCGCCCCCCAGCCCCCCGCTGCTTCCTGCTGTCCGACCGACTGCCAGCCTCACCAGAGCAGGGCCATGAACACGGGTTATTCGCTTGTCACTAAATCACAGGCCTAGAAGAAACCACGCTGATGCCTGAACCTCCATCGGAGGAGCTGGTGGAAAAACCCCAGGAGAGCAGGATGTGCCAGGCTCCCGAGCAGCCGCTGCACCAGCAGCTCTGCAGCGGCCTGGCTGGGCGAGGTGGGCGGGGGGTGGGGGGGGCACAGGCAGAGGCCACGTCCACACCGGGCGCTCCACCCGAGCTCGCACGCATCCACCCGGCCTCTTACCAGGGCGAGTCCCTCTCCTGCGGCCCCAGGCTCCCGGCAGCCCCTGACAACGACGTCAAAGCCAGGCAGGGTGGCGGCTCTCCACGTCAAAGGCCATGGTGGACAGGCAGCGAGCGCCCCCGGTCCCGGCGCCCGGGCACCCCCAGGGCTCCGGTGGCGGCGGGGAGGGCCGCAGCAGGCACAGCATGGGCACCAGCTCTGCCCTGAGCAGCCACCCCCAGAGAAACAGCAGCGGGCTGAAACCTGGCAGAAGGGGAGCCGATCCCGATCTCGGGGAGGGCGGGTGGCGGCCGAGGGGGGGCCGGCTCGGACGGGAGGACCAGCGCGGAGCTGTCGCCAGGCTGACTCTGGAAGCAGCTCAGCGGCGCCTGCAGGCTCCTTTCCATGATTGCAATCACAGCCCCTCCCACCGCCCCCCCTCGCCTCCTGGGGGAGGGGTGCACGGCAGCACTGCCTGCTCACAGGCGGCCCTGCTTGCTCCCCCTTAGAAGCAAAACCCTGACGGCGCCTGGCAGGAGGACCTTAACCCTTGCGTAGCAGCCCTCCCCTCCCAGCGCCGGCACCTGCAGAGCACGGCTCCCCTCAGCCTGGCCCGGCCGCAGCGGGCAGTGACGCGGACCAGGCGCCCCGACATCCCCTCTGCTTCCCGCCCCCCCCACCCTGGGCTGGCCCCAGGCTCCACGTGGGAAGCTCCAGCTTGCCTCCCACTCGCCAGCCTGTGCTAGCGCTGGCTCTGCGCTCTGGCAACGGTGCTTCCTCACATTCCAGTACATTCCGGCTAGGAGGCTGATCTTGGGGACGGTGCCGTAAGGGGCTGGGACAGGAAGCATCACCCTCCCTCCTCAGGGAGCACCACGGTCACCTGGGCACAGCGAGGCACACGGGCCTGGGGCCCAGTCCAGGGCTCGGGGGCACAGGCCCCGGTTGGCCAGAACCGAGAGGACTGGAGCTGGTCTGCAGACCACTGAGAGCCTCCTCTGCTGCCCAGCGAGGGCAGGCACCAGGACTCCACAGCACAAGCCCAGCGAGGGAGGGGAGAGGCCGGGGGCCGGCGACCGAAGGGGGCCTGCGTGCACCCCAGCACCTCCGCTGGGTGCGGCAGCACGCGAGGTGTGACCAGCCAGTCTCCAGAGAGGGCCGGGGTCCCTGGGTGCACTGCCCCAGGTGAAGGCAAAGGACCTGACCCCCCCCACCCTTGCCGACTCCTTGAGTCCTTCCCTCAGAAAGTGCCTGGCACAGCAGCCAGCGCCCCACACTGAGGGCGACGTGGGGGCTCCCCATCACCCTGCTGGGTTGCCGGACCTGGCCCGGCCCCCCGCCTCTCAAGAAACAGCCGTGCGAGCAACAACTCTATTTTCACGTGAACATGGCAGCATTCTTGGAGAAGAACCACGCGGAGTCCACACAAGAGACGCTAAGTCATTCATGAAACCTTTGGTTGAAACCACAAGAAGAGGCAGTTTTCAACAAAAACGTGGACAGGAGTCCCCAGTCACCACTCTCAGGGCCGGGGGCAGCATTCCCGACACCCCCGCCTGGCCCTGCGGCCCGTCCAGGCCAGCTGACACACACGCCCTCCCCGGGATTGGGGCGCCAGGGGGAGGCCACCTGGCCGCCACCTAAAGCTCGGCCTGAAGGTGCCCACGCGTCTGACCGCAGCGCCCAGGCCCCAGTGGACACAAGGCAGGCGCGGAGGGCTGCCACGGGCCTTGCTGGGCAAAGCCGCGCTGGTCTCTGAGAAGCCGGGCCCGGGAGCCGCTACGGCTCCACAGGCTGCGCTGGGGCTCAGGCTCCGGCTGGCCAGAGGCGTCTGCTGCTGGCTTGGGCTCTGAAGGCGCAGCGGGCCCTCCTCCGCGGCATGAGCCGGGCTGGGAGGGCCAGGAGGGGTGAGGCGGGCAGGGGCACAGAGGCAGCGGCGCCCACGTCATGGCCAGTACAGGCCAGGCCCAGCTGGCCCAGTGCCCAGCAGCATGCCCCCCGCCCTCTCCAGGACGCCGGTGACCCAGAGCCCTCAGCCCCTACGGGCACCTCACCGCCCCTCCGCACCCACACGTGTGGCCACAGCCCCACGGCCTGGGCCGTGCCCCCACCCAGCCGAGCTGTGGAAGCCGTTTGCAGCGACCAGGTGGGCGGCCTGGGGCCCACGTCTGTGGTGCCGGTCACCACGCCCGCCCTGAAGTCCGTCTGATGCTCAACTCAGGCCCTGCGGGACAGCCGCGGTACACAGGCGGTTTGGTCCCAGCCCAGAAACTGCCCCGGGGCCACGGCCCCAGGTGCTTCCCGGGCCCCTCTGACTCGGACAGCCGCAGAAGCAGCCGCCCCGTCGTCCCTGGGGTGGAGGCGGCGCGGGGCTTCACCCGACACCAGAGGAAGCTCCGCCTTGGCCGTGTGCACGCCCGGAAAGGGCTTCCTTCCCCGGAGCCCACCCTCACCCCCAGCCTCCCCACGCGGGTTTTGTGCTGCAGCAACCCCGCTCCCGGTCGGCTGCCACCGGCCGGACTAGAGGCGGGACTGGGTGGGCACGCAAGGCTCCCCGGTTTCTCCGGGGCCGCCTGCTTCCCAGAGGCCGCTGAACAGCCTGGCAGGTTTGGCAAGAGCGGCTCCGGGTGGGGCCAGGGACTCACCCTCCTGCTCCTCCTCCACTCTGAGGACCATTTTCCTGTCGCGGCAGGACCCCGGGCGGCTGGCCTGGGTCTTCAGAGAGTCTGAACAGCCTCCCGGCAGGCAGGGCTGACGGGGCCAAAAGTACCTGCGGCTTCTGGCCCGACAGCTCAGAGCGGCTTCCTGAACCCCCTGAACCAGGGCTCGTCCCGGCCAATCGGCCCCAGCCGGGCCGCGTCAGGCAGGCTGGGCCTCCGCCCAGTTCCTCAGGTCGGGCTCCAGCAGCTTCAGAGGCGGGACCCGCCTCCCCCTCCGGGAAGCAGCTGCTGCGTGTGTGTCTAGTGGCTACGTGTCCGCCCTCTCCACGCTCCGAGGCTTTCTCAGAAAGGAAGCTCAGAGCGGGGCCCTCACGGCAGAGCAGTCCCGGCCCGGCCCGGTGACGGGCTCTTAGTCACCACGCCCCTCCGCCGGCTCACTGCAGGCAGGGGCGGGTCTGAGACCAGGCAGGGGGTGGTTGGAGTTCAACGTCACCCTGTTCTCTCTTCTAGAGTTTTGCACCAAACTGCTCTCCCGGCACACCCTTGTCACGCCCGCTCGCGTCACGGCCCATAGCAGGAAGAGCGGCGGAGCCTGCGCCCCGCCCAGCAGCCACTGACACCAGGGTTTCCATGCGATCCCCCCTCAAAACACCTCCTGGCCCCTGTCTCACGGGGGCTGTCAAACTCCTACGAGGGGTGCAGGTGAGTCTTCCCTCCCACGTGACGCTGGCCAAGGGGGCCCACCGAGGCCTTCTGCGCCTTCCCCTGTCCCTCCTCCCCCTTTCCAGTCCTCGTTTTTGGAATTTCTACTGGACAGGGAAGCTCCACAGCGGAGTCTTCAAGTTTTCTTCTCTTTTTGCTCCTTCCTTTCAACTTCTTTTGAGCTGCTTTCTAGAAAATATTGACAATGGGCTGAACGCTGGTGTCTTCCTAAAATTCGTATGTTGAAATCCTAACCAGACGGTGAGTAAAGCTTTGGGAGGTGATGAGGTCGCGAGGGTGGAGCCTGGCAACGGGGCCAGGGCCCGAGCTGCCTCCTGCGTGGGAGGCACAGCCCACTGTGACCTGGGAGAGCCCCACAGAGACCCCGCCCGCTGTCACCCTGGCCTTGGGCTTCCGGCCTCCAGAAAGTAAGGAACCAATGTCTGCTGCGTGGGCCACTTCGTGACAGGAGCCTGAGCTGACCGTGACAATTCTCTAGTTTCTCTTCCAACCTTCCTACCAAATGTTTTCTTTCTGTGGTTTGTGGTTCGCAACGACTCCCTCTTACCTCTGACTGCTCCTTCCTGACAGCACCCTGTTCTTGTTTCATGGATATAAAACCCGAGACTCTTAAGTCTTCTTCTGTTTCTCCCACGACCTTCCCTCGCATCTCTGTCTCCCCTTTGCTTTACTGTCTCGCTGCTGTTCCGGGTTCCTCGTAAGCGTCCAGTGAGCACGGCTGGTTCTCCACACACAGGAGTGAGGCGCTAAAGCCCCAGCACAGACTAGTAAACTGTCGCCCGGGTCCAGAGTACAGCAAGGGTCCCCGACGGCCCACGGCTGCGGACCTCAGGCCCTTGCTTGCCCGCGAGGGTGAGACAGCCCGGTGCTGGCCGGGGGCCGATCCACAGAGCAGAAGCGGACTCGGAGCCCGAAGCAGCCCACACGGACTGGAGGGCAGCAGGGATGGGGCTGCGTGGACGGCGGGCAGCAGGGGCCTCGCGAACACCAGGAAAGACGAACAGGGAGGTCACGGCGCTTTCCCAGGCTGGAAACCACCTAAACTGCCAGATTTATTCCTAGTCGTCGTCGTCCACTCCTGTGACGTGTCGGTGAAAACAACCAGCCACGGCTACAGGGGTCGACGAGGGTGAAGGGCTCGGACGTGACGGGAGGGACAGCCGACAGCCAGGGGAGAGACGTCCTGGCAGGCCCGGAGACGAAATCCAAACAGAAGGATTAGGGGAGATGAACAGGCCGACCAGAGCCAGACCTCCACGGCCTTCCCTGGGAGACCTCCAGAGAATGAGCCGCGCCCAGGCCGGGCAAGCAGAGCGCAGGGTGGGGGAGTCCCAGGTCGGCTGCCTGGAAGCGGGTGGAGGCCACTCAGCCACCAGCAACCCCCTGGACACGCATCGCCCACGTGTGCCCGGCCAGCGCGTCAACCGCGGGCAGAGGGCAACACCACGGACCAGGCAAGGCCACGGTCGCACCGCAGCTGCTCGTGACTTCGGCTGCTATTTCCAGACATGAAATCTCCAGCCCTCACCAAGGGCGAAAGCAGTTGCCCTTGTGGTGTCAAAGCCAAGCCTGTCTGAGGCCAAGCTCTCTGACAACGGGCACGGCGCAGGAGGAGCACACGGGGGTGGGGGGAACACCCCGGGGAGCATGGTGAAGGGGAGCACTGTGGGGGGGGGCATCGCAGGGAGAGCACAATAAAGGGCGATAGGCTGAGGCCGGGCTGCCTTGGTACAGATCCACTCCTCCCTCTTTCTGCTTCCCGCTCCCCCCGACCCTCTCATCACACTGCACCCCCATGGGACGGGCACCTGTCCGTCCTCTGGCGGGCAGGGAGATGCTGGTGAGGGCGGCGGGCGCAGGCCAGGCCCCGGGCCCCCCTGTGGGGCAGGCGGCCTCGGCAGGGCACAAACCTGCCAGAAAACTGCAACAGCCTGTTTGTGACAGGGCTTCTCTTCAAGACGCTCTCACACCACCGTTCAGATGCTGCTTTCCCTGAAGAGTTAATTCTCGTCCAGCCCCAAAAATACCCGCGCAGACCCCACAGGACGCTGCACTGCAGAGAGCCTGCCGGACAGGAGGGCTCCCCGTGTCTGTGTCGTCCCCCACGTGCCCAGAAAGAGGGGGCGTGTGCTGGGGGCACAGAGCCACACCCCCCAGAGACCGCCGCCTCCTCTTCCCCTCGGCGGGCGTGGGGACCCCGCAGGCTGAGTGGCCAGCGAGGGTCGGGCGGCGGCAGCCTGGCAACCTCGCTCTCGCAGGCCGTCCCAGGCCGGGCGATCAGGGGCCACGTGGACGGCGGGCGACTCAGCCCTGCGATGCTGACAGGACCAGATTCCCCGACCTCAAATTAAGCTAAATTATGCTTAACTCCCGCCATCTAAGTCATCGAGGATGCACGTCTCTGGCCCTTCGCAACCTCTCATTACCCCCCTAGCGGGTCTGGAAAGGCCCCTGCGCGGTGCCCAGGTCAGCTTCCCGCGGCCCCTCTGCGCCCTGTCGGGGGGAGGACGGGCGGCAGGAACCGGAGGGCAGGGGCGGGTCCAGGGGGCGGGCGCAGGGCGGGGTGGGGGGGGCAGCTGCCCACTCACAGGAACTGGAACTTCCCCATTTTCACGTGGAGCTGTCACCCTGATTTTAAGGAAGCACCAGATGGTGATTTTTTTTTTTTTTACTGCAAAATACCCTTTTTTTTTCCAATTAGGTTGTGACTACTTTAAGTTTTGTTATTTTTTTAAAAATCAGGTAAAAATGGTTTTACTTTTTTAAAAACCCAGACTTCTTTTTTGATTGATACCAAATGAAAATATACTTAAAACACCCTGACACTGATTTGCACATTGTACTCACGTGAAACAAAAGCTCTCGAAGAGCCGCTTTGAGCTCGGGGACGCACGCCGGCCACTCCTCTCCCAGAGGCTGACCCGGGAGAAAGGGAAACATGTCCCCCCCAAGGCTGGCCCACGCACCAGGACGAGGGTCCATCCAGGGACCCCACCCACGCAGGCGAGAGGGCTGGAGCCAGGCCCCCCCAGGGAGCACAGCGGGGGGGGGGGGTGGTCTTAACCAGCGTAAACTCCCTGGGCAGCAAGCAGGTGGGGAGTGGGCACAGGCAGGGGAGTGGGCACAGAGCCCCTTTCAGGGGCCTGGAAATGCTGGGCCTGTCCATGCAGGGTCTTCTGGGGCACAGGCCTGCCAATTCCTCGCCCCACACACTTCAACTGGACACCGATCACTGCGTAAGATCCACACCTGATGAGGCCACGTTTTACCCAGCCACAAGAAGGGGGCCCTTGGGGCCGTCAGCAAGCAGACGCCGCCACCCCAGGCCCTGCTGGAGGTCCCTGAGCCCCCCCAGTGTCTGTGCAAGGCGGCCACCAGCACGTGTGGCCCTCCCTCTGCACACAAAAGCACCTCAGCCCTGTCAGTCCAGCACCCAGTTGGGGTGAGGTCTAGCTTCCGAGAGTCTTCAGCCCGGCCGGGCGCCGACGTCTCTAAGCTGCCGCATCGGCCGCAAGGGGAAGCGGGAACGCCGGTCGGACACCAGCAAGTGCCCGCGGACACAAGCTCTGAGGACTCCATGCCCGATGGTCCAGAGAGGCCAGGCCCTCTCCAGACGGCCCAGTGGGCGCTGCTCACACCCACCCGTGGCCAGAACAGCCCAGTGGACTGTGTTCCACAAACCCTGCCGAGCGGGTGACTGGAGTGACCCCTCTTCACCCCGCTGAAAGGCCCTGAAGGTCAGCACTCCCCTGCCCACCAAGAGGGGACGGAGGAAGCGCCCCAGTACAGCCAGCCAGCACGGAGTGGGGTGAATCAACACCGGCCCCCCGGCACCCCACACACGGCGGTGAGCCAAGGGGACGCACCGGAAAGCCACTTCAGAGTAAGACGGTCAACTCGCCGAGCCAGTGCTCCCACAAATCAGAAACGGAGACAAAGATCTACCAGTGGTGTGACCGGGTCATCTGTGGCAAGAACAGACTAGAAACTTCAAAATGACCAGCCGGGGAAGCCCACCACTCCAGATGTCCAGGAGGCCCCTGCTGACTGTTGGCTCCCACAGGCCCAGGAGCACCAGCCTGGCCCCTGGTACAGACCCAGCCGGCTCGGCCCGGCACCCCATGGCAGTGGGTACCCCGGGCTGAGGCCCCACGGAGGCTGAGCTAGTGTGCAAACCTTGGGGCTCCTGCCGGGGAGCACCCGCGTGCTTTGGTCCGCAGGCAAAGCCCACCTCACCTCTGGGTCCCCCTCATCCTGGGTCCTCTAGGAAGGTGGGGTGCTTGCTCCCCAACAAATGCCACCAAAATATGGCCAGGCACAAACACGCTAACAGCAGGGAGGACTGCTTTTAAAAATATCCCTCAGAACGACTAGACTCGCTTCTAAGCCTCTCTGCTTAATCCCAAAGTTTAAAAGTATTTTAAACCCCTTCATTACCCTACGTCTTCCACAAAGGGCTGGAGCAGGTGAACGCGCTGGAATGCACACCGGTGTTCCCGGGCTGGTGGGGGCTTGCCACGCTCTCCCCTGCACATTCACGGAGGCTGGAAGCTTCCCACGATAGCTTTGCAGTCTGCCCGGCAGCTGGCGTGAGGGGGACACTGGCCATGCAAGCGGCCGCCCCCGGGGCTCGACCCCAGGCCACGCCTCTGAGACCAGGGAGGATGGGGTGGGCCAGCGCCTTCCCTGCTGCTGCCCAGGGGCTCCTGGCCAGGCCCACGGGCCAGCGACCAGCCACGCCGACAGGAGGGGGGGTGTCTTCTGGAAGGGACAAAACAGGACCACAGACCACAGGCGCCGGGGGAATCGGGGGGCAGGTGACCCTGGCAAAGGTAACAGAGGCATAAAACATGCCCCAGCTTGGTTATTTTTTGCTGCTTTGATCTGCTCAGCCTCTTCTGAAACCCCCTCCCGGAGAGCTGGACGGTCCAGGGCATAACTGCCTCCACCAGGGGATGAGGGCGAGGCCGGAGCCCAGTACTAGCCACCCCTCCGCACAGCCCTGGACGCGTGGGCCTCCACCTTGGAAATGAGGGGCCCTCCTGCCAGCCAACGGTACAGGGGGCGGCCCCTCCTCCATCCGTTCCTGGCTCTGCCCTGGGGTCCGGGCTCATCGGGCCGCAGGGAGGCCCCCAAGAAAATGCTTCTAAGAAGTGGCCTCACGGCTCTGCAGAGGCCCCGGCAGGAGCCGCGCACCCTCGTCCTGAGGGGCTCGAGGCTGGCCCGGGACGGGTAGCACCACCGCCGAGGCCCCCAGGGCCACCAAGTGCCCATCACGTCACAAACTCGACGCAGACACGGCCCTCTCGGGGGGACTGTCCCCTCTCTCGCGTGTCTTCACCTGACCCCTCTTCCAAAGAGCCAGTTTTTTCTTTTCAGCTTAACAAAGAATGCACTTCACCAGCTTAAAATGCTTTTGTGAAGATTCCACACAGAAAACGCTCCTGGAGCCAGAGCAAGGGAGTCTGCACCAGCCCCTCGTCGGCTCAGGTCCACCCGAACGTGGCCGGGACCAGCCAGCGCCTCCTCACTGCCCGTCCAGAAGGCGGGAGGGGGTGCGTCCTCCTGTGCCTTCCCAACTCACCAGCCCCTGCGCCCCCCACCCCAGGCCACGGGGGGCTGATTTCTGTGTTGGACACGGATCTTCACCCCAGGAGTGGAAAGGCCCGCCTGGTCTCCCCGACACCCGCGCCGGGTCACAGCGCAAAGGGGACGAGGCACAGACGGGGTCCAAGCTGCCCGGGCAGGCCCTCGCACGGGGCATCTGGACCCGGGGCGGGCCCGGTGTGACCGCCAGGGCCCCGCAATGCAGGAGGGGTTTGGGGAGGTGGCGCGGGCCAGAGCCGGGGCTGCCGGTGGCCTCCGAAGGCAAGGGCCGCCCCCCCGGCAGCCTCAGAGAGGAACAGCCTGCTCTCGTCTTGGCTTCAGCCCAGTGAGGCCAGTTCCCCACGAGTGACCCCACCGTGAGACAAATCTGCGGTGCTTCAGACACTGAGCCCGTGGTCACTGGCACAGGAAACTCGCCCTGGGGGCCAGGCCCGTCTGCGGCGCTGAGGGCGTGTCCCGAACAGGCGGGCGGAAGCGCCATCTGCCAGCACGTCGGGGTTTTCCTGCTCGTCTAATCACAGACACGATCAGCTGCGGCTGCGAGCCTCTGGGGACACAAGACACGCACACACCGACCCCCGGAGCCTCCCAGAGCCGGGTCCACCCCGCATCAACCACGGAGGCGCCGCTGGCCCCGCACGCACCTCTCCAGACCAGAGCCCTGGTCTTCATCTGAACGTCCCTTCCTGAAGCTCTGCACGAAGCCTGACTGCCCCTCGCCTCCCGGCAGGCCGGCCACCAGCCCCACCGGCGCGGCCCCGCCAGCCGCAGCCCCAGCCCACGGCCGCCTCGGATGAGAGCCACGGCAGCGAGGAAGGGGCTGCTCGACCTGCACCCCAGCCCAGGGAGGGGGATGGGGCGGGAGCGGGGGCCCCTCCCGCAGGGCTGAAAGCGCAAGAATCAGCTAAAAACCAGAAGGGCCTCTCAGGCGCAGCACGAGGGAACCGTGTTCCGGGAAGCGGAGAAAGGAAGAGACGCGGCTTCGGCGGAGGCGGCTGGGGGCGCCCGGCCCGGCAGCAGCTGCGTGTGAAGCCAGACAAAGGACACACACGCTCCCTCTCACCCCAGCTCCAGGGCCACCTGAGGTCACTGCGCGGTGACTTCCGAACATCTGCAGGCCGACACCCCCAAGTTAAAGTCTCCCTGCCAGGCACCTCCTTCCAGCTACTGCCCCCCGAAGTCCAGTGAAAGAGCATTACCCCAAAAGTCTCCTCTGCAG